TGTGCGGGCTCATGTAATATTTAATTTACTTTTAAGGTCCATATTCCGTATGCTATTCATACTTCTGTTTGATTTTTCGGGACCAACACCTTCAAGCTATGCAATTTGTCTAGCAAAGCCTGGGCAAGTCAACCCATTTTCAGTTGTAAAATGGAACCAACCCCCAAAAGAAACCCAGTCCTCTTTTTTTGTTTGGAATTGGAATGTCTGAACAGGAACTTTTCTGCTTTCTGGCGGGTGTCATTCGCTGTTGTTCAAACTATTTACGAATACTTGACTATTTTTTGCCCCGATAGTTTTGTTTTCAAAGGTGTCATTGTTGTTAGGACCTGGCCAGACAGACAACCAGTCATGCTATTTAACAATGTACGCCCAGACCCCATACAAACTTTAAAATGAAAGAGTAATTCAAAAAAAAAAAAAAAAACATTAACAAATGACTGGGGTTTGAGGTTGTCTTGTATTCCATGGTGTTGTTCTGTAGCTTCGTTCGCCATGTTGACAATGTCGGCGAATTTTCTTTCGTTTTTTTCCTGATCCTATGGAAAATAGCCTCCTGACAATAGTGTCATAGACAATTTGCATTTATTTCGAAATAAGAAAAAAAGCAACAACAACAGGAGCTGCAGGACAATATAAAAGGAAGTTGGCTGAAAGGACAACAGACAAAAATGACAACATGAGTTCATAAACTTTGTATGCAGCAGCAAATACAAAGGGAGAAATAACAACTCTCTTTGGTGGCAGGCAGGTTGTCAGATAGGTGGAGAATGGAGTCAGCCAGGATAGGGGAATAAAAATGGGAAGAAGAGAGAATTAAATAGTTAAATTCCAAAAATTGGAAGTTTAAATGTCCTGGTTTAGACTTCCGAGGCGATCTATTCTGCAGTAGGGGCCTTTGAATACTTCTACTCTGAAGAATATTTCATCTTTCATCTACTCGCCTTAAATAACCTCTGTTGTTTTCCAATCTAAAGTAGATACCCTGAAGACCTCTATTTAATGATGGAGGTCCTCAAGTGAAATCAGTTTAATATTAAAAGTCCTCAGAGGACATATTCTGCATATGTTGGGATCTCTAATAGCGGCACGTCTATTGTAGAGGGCTCTTCAGGTCATTTACTCTGTAATAGAAGGCTTCTTAGTTCTCCACTCTACAGAAGATAACATCTGAGGAGCTCTATTTAATGTTAAGAGTTCCTTAGGTGAAATGAGTTGAATGTACGAGGACCTCAGAGGTTATATACTGAATATTTTAGGATCTCTGATAGCTATTGTTGTGGTCTCACCAGATCATTTATACTGTAATAGAGAAATTCTTAGGTCTCTACTCTACAGAATATGAGGACCTCCTCTAGTGAAATCAGTTTAATATTAGAGGTCCTCAGAGGTAATATTCTGCATATTTTGAGATTTTTCATAACGGCTTCTCTATTGCAAAGGCCTCATCCGGTCATTTATTCGATAATAGAGGTCTTCTTATATCTGAACTCTACAGAAGATGACCTCTAAGAACCTCTATTAAAAGTTAGAGGTCCCCAAGTGAAATCAGTTCAATATTAGAGGTCCTCAGAGGTTATATACTGAATATTTTGAAATCTCTGATAACGGCAACTCTATTGTAGAGGTCTCATCAGGTCATTCACTCTATAATAGGAAACTTTATAGGTCTCCACTTTTCAGGAGATGACCTCCGAGGACCTCTATTTAATGATAGAGGTGTTCGGGTGAAATCACTTCAATAATAGAAGTCCTCAGAGGTTATATTCTGCATATGTTGAGATCCCTCATATCGGTTTCTCTATGGTAGAGGCCTCAACAGGTAATCTACTCTCAAGTAGAGGACTCCTAAGGTCTCAAATCCCCCAAAACATCTACAGGATTTATATCAAACCTTATCAAAACCTAAAATTAGTATACACCCCTTGTCTATTTCCAAATTTAACCATAATAGCCAGTTAACGTCAACGAAATTTTGGTCCAATATTTTGCCATACAACAGCATTTCTTCTGTTGCCATTGTTAAATGTTTACCTTTCCGGCAATACAAATTTACATTTGTTGTTGTTATTGTTTTTATTGTTGTTGTATAAAATAAAAATAAATCCTTTGGTGGCAGTGTGCGGAGGTGGTGTTGTCATAATAGCTAATTACATTAATTCGCTTGCAAAGGCACCGAGTGGTTTATTTGGTTTCACATGTTCCACATATTTGATGCGGGCGGCAATACCCTCATTCCTACTTCTCCGCGGGAAAATGTTTTTCCTCCAGTTGCAATTTTGTCCATCTGTCTGTGTTTATTTTGGTGCACAATGCAAAACTTCCCTCCTCTTTCCAAAAAAAATACCCACTACAGGCAATGAGGGTATAGCTGGCGGACGGGCTAGCTGCCGGCTTGTCTCTCTAAACCACCAGAAGCAAGCGAATCCACCCACATGAAAATATTTTTTTGTGTGGAAACTGAAATTTTGTTGCCCAAAAAAAAAAAAAAAAACTTTCGCATAAAATGGCCATAAAAATGAATGAAATGAATTGGTTAGAGTGTTGTTGCTGTTTTTGGCCACAAATGACCATAGCACCACCACCCGGTTGTTTGGTTTCTTAGCACAATAAAAAAATAGCAAACAACAACAACCCACACATATATTCACACATTTTAGTGACACGCGACAAATTAGCTGAAACATCAAATGAAAAAAGCTAAAACCACAATCACCCTGAACAAGAAACGACTGCGAAGATGTCCAACAATAACAACAACTATGACGGAATAATGTATTCAGTGAACCACTCGTTAATCTAAACAATGACAATAGTAATAAAAAAAATTCAAATCTATCCAAATCAGATTAAAATCACATAAAAAATATTTGAAGACCAAATAAATATTAATGAATTGGAATTCATCGAATAATAACAAGGTGGCGCCCAAGGAAGCGAAAATGAATTTTAAATCGTTATTTATGAATTCATTTAACCGCATGCGTATAAGTACTGACAATAATCATACGCCCCCGTTAAAAAAAAATTAAAAGAATCATACGTCACCTTATATACTGTAAATATTACTCCAATATATTCTATGAGGTCCTTCATTTTACGAGCAATGATATAAAAGCATTTATTTTAGATTATAATGAATTCCAACTTCAGTCAAAATTTGATTAAAATCACATAAAAATGTTTGAAAAGTATGGGTCAAATAAATATTTGTATTGGAATTCATCGAAAAATAACAAGGTGGCGCCCAAGGATGAGAAATCTGAAATAGTTATTTAAGAATTCATTTAACCGTGTGCGTAGAAGTAATGATAATCATACGCCCACCAATATAAAAATTATTAAAAATAATCATACGGCGATTATACTGTAATATACCCTCTGCTTTCTTATATGTGGTCATTAATTTTACGGCCAATGATATAAAAGAATTTATTTCAAATTAAAATCAATTAAAAAATAATTTTCTATTTCCGGAAGGGGACAGTGTAAAGTATTACTATTGACATCAATCATACGCCAGCATTTCCCATGATTTTATCCCAATTAATATTATCCATACGCTCCAGAGTCTCGTTCAATTATAGGCTATTGAATTTTCTATTTCCCAAAGACCTCATTTATATTCAATTTTTTTAGATTACTTTTGCCGATATGGAAAATTTTCTGAAACTAACATTTATTTAAAAAGGAGGGCCCAATAGATTATATACTAACCATACGCCATGTTTTATACTGTAAATGGACCTCTACATCCCTCTTTGAGGCCTTTCATTTCCATGACAAGATCATGAAAAGTCAAAATCATTTCTCTATAAATTGTTGGATTCATGCGTATAAGTACTGACAGCAGTCATACGCCCAAATGATCAAAATTAATAAGCTCATGTTATCTCAAAGAAAATACCTTATACTGTAGACGCAATATGAGGCTCTTGTTCCTCTAATCGAGGTCTTATTTGAATATGAATTACGACAGAGCTCCCTTAATAAACTTTACAATGACATATAAATTAGTATGCTGTAGGAATACCGTATTATAATATGACAGAACATAACGTTTTAATTTAATAATCATATCATCGGACACGTTTTATGTAAATGAACATCTACACTCCTTTTTGGGATCATTAATTTTCCATTTTCATTATCTCACAAATGGTTGCATTCATTCGTATAAGTACTGATATCACTCATACGCTCAGATGATTAATATTAAAAATTACATTTATGAAGTTATTGGTCTCGATGAAATTCTCTTTTACGGTAGATGCTATAGGCGGTCCTTGATCTTCAAATCGAGGACCTTGTTTCTTTAAATGTGCCAACAACATTGCAAATGACGATCATGAATAAACTTCCTAGCAAGTAGAGTTAATATTCTACCATAAATTTTATGAGAGTACAACAAAGGTCACTAAAGAAAATAACATCGAGGCTTTATTACTTTAATATAGTAGATAAATTATTTTGTGATATTGCGATGATTTTCTATAAACCTGAAGACGTCTAGTTATTATTTTTAAAAATTTCAAAATCAAAATAAAGCTGTTAAAATTTGTTCGTAGCATGCGTATAAGTGCTGACAGCAATCATACGCCCCTTATAATCATAATTTAATACCAATCATACGCTCCCCTGTAACATAATTTTCATAATTTTTTCTAGTTATCACAAAGCAAATATTGAATTTTTATAGTGTTGAGAGAGTTTTGAATCAAGTGTTTCTCTATATAATTTTTAATTCTGGTATCGGGTTGTGGATTGTGCTGTGGTTGTTGTGGGTGTTTAAAATTTTGATGATCGGTAGGTATATTGTATCAAGAGTATAGAAGTAGAGACAGTGATATAATATAGTAGTATGTGGAATGTTTTTTTGTGAATCAGGTTTTCTTTTGTTTTGACTGTTTTGAAAAGGAACAATTGAAAATAAATAAATTCGAAAAAAGAAAAACAACAAAGACGTAAAACAAGGCGACAATGTGTAAGCCTTTACATACCTGCAGTGGCGAGAGTGTAATCCCAGCTGGTTTCTGGTTCATTTTTGTAGACATTCAATTTTTCCGGCTGTAAATAGAGGGATAGAAAAAATTATAAAAATACAAACACATAGTGTTTTGTTTCCAAAAAAGCAAAATTTATTTTCTAATTGGGTTTTTAATGGAATAATCAGGATTTAAAATATTTTCCAGGGGGTAGTGTAACGTATAACTATTGGCATCAATCATACGCCACCAGTTTTCATTGCTTTTTTTATAATTAATAGAAGTCATACGCTCCAGAGTCTCCCTTAATGTAATTTTGGGGATTTCTTGTATATAAATTGTGGGTTTGCTTTTTTTTCTACTCACCTTGGCAAAATCAATTTTCAAAGTACAACAACCCGAATAAATATCAGCTCCATTTAAATTTTCTTTGGCTCTGGCTGCCGAATCCAAACTGTCGAATTCCACCATGGCCTGGACGCCATTCTTTTTGAATATGACAATGCGCATTACCTGGCCGTGGGGGACACATATTTTATGCAAAACGTCCTGGAATGACAATAAATGGAAAAAATACAAAATTTAAGAATGTGTACACAATTTTTAAAGGTAAAATAAAAAAACTAGTTAGCCAAGTAGACACATTTTTTAAAGTAATTATTGGCACCTTTTAAGCCTATGATATATGGCTTAATTGTTTTTGGCACAATCAATATGGATATTTTTCAACAGTCATTGACCACAAAATAGCAAATTGTCAGGCCAAGTAAAAAAAAACAATAATAGCTGTCTTTTTTGGCACCAAATGCCACGATAATAATGGTCATGACCTAACCCCCACATCAACACATTATGGCTGGCATTCGAATCAAATACAAGGCAAAAGGTAAATGTTTTCATTACTCACATGAAGAGACTTTAAGGACGAAACTTCAATGAACCATACAGAAATCTACCTACAAAAAGAAAAAACCTTTTGGTTTTCCTTTGAAACTAAAATCCGACACAAAATGTCGATTGTCTTGTATATCCATAAGATTACACAAAATTTGAGAGACTTCATTAACTTTAAAAGCTTCAAACTTAATGGTTTTACAGGGTTCCTTTTTGAAAGGATTTTTTCCAATAGGTGTCATACCATTCAGGTGTGATGTGAAGGGCAAAATATTTGCAATTCATTGCAAGCAGATACAAAGCAAATGGTTTTGTAGTATCACATCACATACCGCCTCACTTCGGCTTTTCCCTAAGCATCAACCCAAAATTTAACGGGAACTAATGTTGTAGACCAGACCAGACTCGGTAGAATATGAGGGGAAAATACCCAACATATCCTACTGCTGGTATTGAGTACCAAAGACCATCAATAACAATGTTTCGGCTGTTCAGAGGCGATCAACATTCATTTCCTAAGTCTCCTGGGCTTGGGCACAAATACAAACAACAAAAGCAACATCATCATCCAGATACAGATACATGGTGTTGGTGGTGTTCAGAGGTAGTATGTTAAGGTAAATTTTACACTGGAAAAAATATTTCAGTTGGAATTGTAACAGAAAGAATTTTAAAGAATGTGATTCAAAGGATTATTTTCAAAGTTTGGAATTTAAAAAGAGGTTTCGAAGGAATATTAAAAAATAATATATGGGAAAAATAGAGGACTTCTGGTATTAAATGGTAAAATAAGAAATAGAATCCGTTTCTCATATCAAATTTATTTAATACGTATAAGTACTGACAATAATCATACGCCAATGTGTCCCACATTAAATGCAATGATACGGCCCCATTTACACACTAGCTTGCATCAAAGAACCTCTACTTTACCTAAAAGGTCAAATTTTTTTAAGGAATAATGGATCTTTAGTTAAGGACAAAGAAATGTCATACAAAATGAAGAAAGAATATAAAAAAGTGCTTTAAGGAAAAAAGAACACATCCATCTACAAACGGTAAAATAAGAATTTAAAACTTGACCTCATATTAATATCGTACGTATAAGTATTGACAACAATCAGTATATTCCGAATTAAATATAATCACACGGCCCATTTTACAAAATAAATAACCTCAGAGAACCTCTACACTTATTCCAGATGATCTTTGAAACCATTTTAATTTCATTGGAAGGCACAGAATACTATTAAAAAAAACATACGTATAATTATTGAAAGTTTTAAGCCATTTAGTTTTAGTAGAAGGTATTCATTCATAGCACGTCTTTTACAATAATCCAAAAGAAAATTCCGCATAAGTCACGTGTAAGTACTGACAACAGTCATTCGCTCCCATGCCCCCCAACTAAAAGCAATCATATCATCCAAAATCCATAAAAAAAAATTCTTCAGAATGTCACTTCAATATTTGTAGACCTTACGTATAAGTACTGACAACAGTCATCCGCTCCCATGCCCCCAACTAAAAGCAATCATATACCCCATTTTACCAAGTAAATTATCTCAGAGAACTTCTATCTTAATGCAGGAAATCTTTGAGGTCATTTCATATTCAGTGAAAAGTGTAGTTTAATATTTTGGGGGACCATACGTATAAGTACTGACAGGCATCATACGCCCTTATGTCCCACATGAGAAATTGTCGTATTTTGTGTTTTGTTTGTTTTTGAACCTTCGGAATTTATTTTATGAAGAGAATTATTTTTAAAGAAATTTCGGAATTTAATTTCTCCTCAATGTTTATATTTAATACGTATTCCAGGTGACGTATGATTGTTGTCAACACTTATACGCCTTTACAAGTAAATTATCTCAGAGAACTTCTATCTTAATGCAGGAAATCTTTGAGGTCATTTCATATTCAGTGAAAAGTTTGGTTTAATATTTTGCGGCCCATACGTATAAGTACTGACAGGCATCATACGCCCTTATATTCCACATGAAAAAGAGTCATATTTTGCGTATTGTTTGTTTGTGAACCTTCGGAATTTATTTTATGAAGTGTTTCTTTGGAAAATAAATTTTAAAGACATTTCGGAGTTTAATTTCTCCTCGATGTTTATATTTAATACGGATTCCAGGTGACGTATGATTGTTGTCAACACTTATACGCCTTCGTACAAGATTTTGAAATTTTGCTTTAATTGGTATTCAAATGAATGAAAATATTTCCTCGAGTGTACTGCTTTTAATTCCTTAAGACCATTAGAAAGGACTTACGCATACATGAGCCGGTATACAAACCTACACCACCATCAAAGAGGGATGATAGCTTTCAGAGTTAATTGACATAATGACAAATACCAGGACTTTAAGAGACTGAGAGAAGAAAATGCTGTAAAGGTAGGAATGTGCGAAGGCCTGGCCAAAGGCTGAAAGAAGTAGTGTTGGGGATTTAAACAAAATTTCAAAGTGAAGATTTAAAGGGAATTTAAAGAGAGAGGAATATTTAGAGGTTTTAAAGATGAAAAATCGTTAGTAAAGAAAATATCATAGTCGATATCATACCGAAGAACATTTGACGGAAATTTAAAAGCATAATTTTTATTATTCCAAACATGTTTCATTCAAATTATTGTATTTTTATATTTAAAGAAGATTTAATGTGAATTTTATTTTTCTCCATCAAGGCCAAACATTTTGTTATCCTCATTTTCGACTTTGTCTAAGTAATGTAGTTGGAAGGCAATTTAAAGTAAAATATTTGAATTTGTTTCCTTCCAAGGCCACCAACCAATATTTATTTTAGGTCCTTCCACTATTGTTCGACTATTAGCCATCATTATTTGTTCGGCAATTTGTTGCCCCGTTATCTTTTATTTGATGTTCACTATTTTTTTTTCTTTTTTTTAGTAGCATCGTTATTATCATCATCAAGGACATCCATTGAAATGTCTATTTATCTATCTATTCATTCATTGTTTTAAATGAGATTTGTTTTACCCGCTTATCTTGTTTTTCACAGCAACAACAAATGGAATGGAAAGCAACATGTAATGGCAGGCAGGCAGAATGGTAGGCTTTCCGAAGATAGGTCTATTCATAATTTCCTAAGTTGGCATTTTGTCAAAAAATAGACAACAATCGTAAAAAATGGTGTAACAGAGTGGGTCATAGTAATAGAGGGAGGGGTAGAGGAAGAGAAAGGGAAAATGTGGCAAACAAGATAAATATTTCCAAAAAGCAGCAGAATAGTAATAATAAAACAAATAGCTGTGATAATGGCCTAAACATAAACACTTAAAACAGAAAACCAGAATATTTCCCCCACCTTTTGCACAAAACACATTTAAGGATTCTGTTATCCTTTTAACACATTTAAGAACTCTTCCCCCCTCGCTGTGTGTTTTAGTGTGTACGTGCGTATAGCTTACTAATGACTTTCTCGGAAAGACTATAAAAATTTAATAATAGAAATGTTAAAGATTATGGATAATAAAATAAAGACAAACAAACACAACCAACCAAATGTCAGATAAAAGGATAATAATCTTCTTAAGCCATAATAGGATAGAGATGATATTTCTATTACCAGGAAAATGAAAATTAAAAAATGTTCCTGGGAAAAGACAGACACACCATAACAAACTTTGGAAATAATATTTTTAATGGCATTTGGAAATTTTGGAAGGGTGAAAACCAAAAAAAAAAAAAAATAATAATCAGAAAACCTCAGACCGATATTTTTCTCTGGAAACAATTGAGACCATTAGTTCAATGTAATTTTTATTTCACTTCTTTGTTTTCTCAACTCTAAAATTTTTGAGAATTTTTTGAATAGTTTTTGCCAATTCAAATACCAAATGTATATATTTTTTTGTCCCATGTGACGTATGACTATTGTCAGTACTTATACGCACCATATCTCTTTTTTCAATTTTTGATTTGAGCATTAATTGTGATTTTGTGATATTAGACATGAAACCATTGGTTTTATTACAATATCCCATTATTAAAATCCAGCTTTACTCCTTTACTCAAGTGTCTAAAAAACAAAAAACATGAACTTGAGATCCGTCGATTTTTTTTCCACAAAACAATTGGGTATTGAGGTTTTGAACAATTGTTTTCAATAGAAAATACTTGGAACTGAGTTCTGTTTTCTAAATTTGTGGGAGAATTCTTTGAATAGTTTTCCACCTTCAAATAAAAAATGTATATTTTTCGACCCATGTGACGTATGACTATTGTCAGTAATTATACGCACCCTGTCACATTTTAATGATTTTGAAATAAAAGACATTTGAAAAGACTCCTTTGGGTTTTTACGGCAATATCTCATTAGCAAAGTCCACCTTTACTCAAGTGTGTACGATTCTTTGTCAATAGAAAAAAAAACTGGAAAACAATTAGGAACCCTCATATAAAAAAATTCCGAGAACGCCAGACTCTAGAAAAAAATTAAGACTATGAGTTCAATTAAATTTTAATTCTAATTTTTGGTTTCCTTAACACAAAAATCTATTCGAAATTTGCAAAATAATTCTTTGAATAGCCTTTCCCCCTTCAAATACAAAATTTCAATTTTATTCGTCCCATGTGGCGTATGAATATTGTCAGCACTAATACGCACCATGTCACATTTCTCATCTTTAGTTTTGTTTATA